TATCCTTTATCTCTAGTATACAAGTAATATCCAAAGCAGGATGATGTCGATCTTCGGTTACAAATGGATCCAGTGATTTCTCCACATGACATTTTTTATTAAAAAAAACCAGGTCTAGGAGTCTATTAAGGTTATTAAATACAAAATTATTTTGAGAAAGATCAAAAATTTGTGAAAAATTATTAAGGGTAGTGATTTCCCTATTAGTTGCACCAGAATCCAGATAGTTAGCATAGTCGCTAACATTAAAGTCTCCTACAACGAGAACTGTATTATTATGTAATATATGCAACAATGCCAGGGCTTCAAAAAGTTGTTCAAACTCAATTAGTTTAGTTTGAGGTGGTATGTAAATATTTAACAAATAAATATATTTATATAAAAAGATTATTTTAACAACTATGATATCAATCAATTTAAGCTGAGGAAAGTTAAAATCAGATAGATTAATTTCTACGGAAACAAAGTCTTCATGTACCCCAATAAGCACACCTCTACCTCTCGTTAAAGAAGTCTGTTCAAAATTACGACCCATCCTGTATATGTTAAAATTATCCGGAAATAATTGATCTATTTATAATGAATTTGTATTTGAAACTGAAGCTCTCTTATTGCTTTGTGAACTGGCTTTCACACAAATAAAATATCTCTATTTCTTACAAAAATATCCGGCCTGGGAGTTTTTATTGTTACACTTTGTATAGGGTGTGTCAAAACGCGAGGTTACGATTTTTCAATTTTTTTAAATGGAATACCCGGTATTAATTAATTGATGGTAAAACATACAGGGTATTCCATTTCTAATATCATAAAAAAAAATTGCTTGGCAGCCCTGTAATATTTAAAAAACCAAACTATTCTAAAACTGAAATAAAATACAGTGTAAAATTTAAAAAATATACAGTTATATTTGCTAGGCAAATCGCAATACTGTGTATATCCAAAAATATTTTTAAAATACGTATTTTTAAAATCCATATAACTTTTATTTGAAACTTGTTTGCGTGTCTATAACACAAATTAAAATATTAAACAATTATGCACTAATGGGACACCCTGTAGAGCATATTAGGACCAAAAAGATAAAGGGCCAAAATGTTTTTACATGAACAGGCTTAAGGGGCGAAAAACGTTATAGGACAATCACCTCTGCTTATTTATAAAATATAAAATAACCCATTTAAAAGTAAGTTGGCTACTGATATTAGTTATTTGTTAAATTCGAAATTTTTTTTAAAATTTTTCAAAAATATATTTTTTTAATTAAAAAAAAAAAAAAAAAAAAAAAAAAAAGGTATTGGAGAAACTTGTTCCTAATGACATTTTACGTCAACACACAATTTTGAACATTTTTTGATATAGGTACCCCGTAACTGACAAATTTGTATTAATAGAAAAAGTTTAAAAGGGATGAAAAGACAAAAATTCCATACCAATTTTTGTTTGTTATTAATTTTCGACAGTGTGGTTATTTTTTACAAATAAAAACATTATAGGTCATTTTTCTACTTTATGGAAATGTTATTTAAGCTTGGAAAAGAAAATTTTCCAAATAAAAGTTGCTCTCTAAAATTTTTATTCTATACAAAATTTTCCAAAATAGCCTGTATTCAAGAAATTTGACAAAAAGTATAAAATTCGAATTTTTAAGAAAATTGTTCAAATAAAAGTTGTTTGCGATATCATTCTCTATAATTTGTGTACTATACGAGATTTCCCTAAAATGGACCGTAAGAGAAAAATTTGAGGAAAAGTGTAAATTAATATTTTCAGTATTTTCGTTGGCAATGAATACTAACATAAAAAAATGTTTCAAATATGATGTTTGTGAAAAATGTATTTATTTAGTTTACCTTCTAAACATTTACAGGTTGCACAAAATAACTGGAAAAAGGGTGTATTAACTAGATAGGAACGTCATTTGTTGGACAAATCAGATTTTTTACTTTCCTATCTGTATACAAGGAAAGTATAGGAATCATGATTTTTTTCGACCTCGAGTTTTCGACGGATTTTTAAGTTTTGAGGTCCCCTGAATCCGTTTTGACTATTTTCGCGATGCTGTCTGTATGTGTGTCGCATAACTCATGAACCGATACACAGAAAAACACCAAATTTTAAACTTAAGCTTTGTTCCAGCGTCCAATGAACTGATTAGATTTTGAGCAGAGTCGGAACATCTGGGGGGTACTTTATGGGTGGTTATTTTCATATTTTATGGAATATATCTGTTATTTACGTTTGGGGAAGAACATTCTTCAAATAAAAGTTACTTCTTATATTATTATCTATAATTTTTGTTCTATACAAAATTTTCCTAAAATAGTCCGTATTCGAGAAATTTGACAAAATGTGTAAAATTTTAATTTTAAGAAATTTGTTGAACTAAAAGTTGTTTGCGATATCGATCTCTATAATTTTTGTTTATACATGATTTTTCTAAAATGGACCGTAATGAAAAAATTGTAAGAAATTTAAATTTTTCAGTATTTTCGTTTTCAATGAATATCTATAGAAAAATGTTTCGAGGTAGATGTATGTGGACAATGTATATATTTAGTTTATCTAAACATTTATAGAGATGCTGCAATAGGTTGCACATAATAACCGGAAAAAACCTATAATAACTAGATAGGAAAGTCATCAGATTTTTTATTATTCTTATTATACAGTTCATATTTATTTTGAATTGTATATTATCTTCAATAAATAAAGTTACTGTTTTATTGTTATTAAGTATTACTATTAGATTATTTCCAGGGTCTGTCAACTTTGACATTTTAACCAATCACATTGCAATTTACGTTATTAGAACCAAATAAATCGACTATTTTCACTGACTATCTCATATCGACTATCATCTACGTTGACAGCAACTTGCATACTTGATTATAGGTATAATATTTAATAACGGCTACTGTTAAATATTAATTGTCAGAGTACAAGCTAATACCTCATAGAACTTTTTAATAAACCGAAAATAAAAGTAAATTTGAAAAGTTATTTTATTGTGTATTTATTTAAGTCAGATCTAGGGATCTGGAAATACTCTCATTAAATATAAATTAGCGCCTATTTCTATTGTTACTAATATTTTTTGTTGTATTTTGCAATTTGTCTAGAACTAATTATGTCATTAATAATCAAAAAAATAGAGTCCTCGAGTTAAAGCTCTCAGACTCTATCAGATTATTAAGTTATTAATGACAAAATTATGTCTCGACAAACTGATATCAAAAACACTCAAAATTTAGATCTAATAAAAATAGTTGACTATTTATCAAGGTCTCCTTATATTACCCATGATTAAAATTATTTAGTCCAGTGGCATCTTGGAGGACAACCTTTAAAAAAATAACACCCTATGGGGTCTATTCTGTAACAATTCCTTTATATTTAACGGCCTTTAAAAATATTTGGCGACCTTTAAAAATATGTTCGTATTCGTTAATTTACTTCTGTCATTATTTAAAAAGATTTCTTTAAGATAGTCCTCTAATGTATTTTAAAGATCCGTTTAAATAATGACAGAAGTAAAGAAGAAAATATTTTTAAAGGCCGTTCAATATAAAGGAATTGTTACAGAATAGACCCCTATATCATAAAAGGCAATATAGAGTACATGTATAAGAAATTTTAGTCATAAAATAAGTCAAGGAATTACCTCCTTCAATATTGACATGACATTAGGGAACACTCTGTATATAATAAATATTCAATTTCACTATACATATTCGATCAGAAATAGCATCATACAGCAATGAGTGGACTATAACAATGCATTTGAATTTTTAATTTTAATTATGTAGTAACAATCAATAATGGTTATTTATACAATAAAATATTCATTCGTCACAAGAAAATTATATTAAAAAATCTGATGTGTCCAACACACGACTTTCCTATCTAGTTATTATAGGCTTTTTCCGGTTATTTTGTACAACCTATTGCAGCACCTCTATAAATGTTTAGAGGATAAACTAAATATATACATTTTCCACATACATCTACCTCGAAACATTTTTCTATAGATATTCATTGAAAATGAAAATATTAAAAAATTTAAATTTAGCACTTTTCCTCCAATTTTTCCATTACGGTCCATTTTAGAAAAATCATGTAAAACAAAAATTATAGAGATCGATATCGCAAACAACTTTTAGTTCAACAATTTTCTTAAAAATCAGAATTTTGCACATTTTGTCAAATTTCTCGAATACGGACCATTTCAGGAAAATTTGACATAAAGCAAAAATTCTAGATAATAATATTAGAAGTAACTTTTATTTGAAGAATTTTCTTCTCCAATCGTAAATAACAGATATATTTCATAGAATATAAAAATGACCACCCATAAAGTATCCCCCCAGATGTTCCGACTCTGCCCAAAATCTAATCAGTTCATTGAACGCAGGAAAATAGTCAAAATGGAATCAGGGGACCTCAAAACATAAAAATCCGTCAAAAACTAGAGGTCGAAAAAAATCATGATTCCTATACTTTCCTTATCTGTATACAGAATAGGAAAGTAAAAATTCATTATTGATTAATATTCCCGCAAAAAAAACCCCTATAGAATAACTACATAACGTTGCCAAATTTCATATATCTGAAAGGTAAATATTTTAAAAAAATTTGTTTCCTTCTCGTAATGCATAGTTTCAGTAGTTTGTATTTTTGTTCTAGTCATCTTGTCATATGTGACTTATGTGGATGTTTTTAAATTAGTTAAATCTGTTTTCACAAATCCAGGATTCATGTTCAATAGTTACAAAAGATTTAAAAATGGAAAAATGAACAAAATTGTATGGATTAATTTCAGTTTCAAACTTAAAGTTTAAAATGAACAAATAAAAAAAAGGACGGTTCATAGTCCAATCTTGTTTTGACTACTATTACCTGTCTTTTTTCTTCAAAACAGCAATAAGCATTATACATTCTGAACTAAAGAAAGTCAGTTTTGTACACAAAAATAAAATGAACATTCAAAAGTGACTTACCTTCCCTTGCATTATCAGTCTAATCGTAATTTGTAGATTTGAGTCATCATTTAAAATCTTATGATCATTTCGGCCCTCCATCTTTGAAGTTTTGTGTTTGGGATCAGGGTAGTAGAGGGAGTTGGAGTTCTTCAAATCTGAAACAAATTATACAAATACATTATAATGTCCATATTCAATAAAATATCTGATTTGGAAATTTTTAGGTATATGGGGAAACATTCATTAAAATTTATGAGCCTGATAAACTTTCTTAGGACTTGAGAATGTGATCTATTTTTTGAATGACATGAGTTTCAAATTACTTCACAGTCTAAACATGTCAAATTTGAACAGGTTAGTAAATTTCTAATGAACAATCTTTCAATCAGTTGTTGGAGTGATTTTTTCAAGTGTATGTACCCACGAAGAAAATTGCAATAACTAAGATACTAAAATAGTACAAGGATGAGTATTGGAGGTTCTTGAGTCAACCACTTAAAATGATATACCTACCTAATAGTTTCAAGATACCTATGTATGAACTGAAACGATAAATCTATAGAATAACTACAACATTATAGGAACTAAATAAAATTGTCCATTAATATAGATGATGAAGAGAATCAGACTTTCAGAGAACAGAAGACCGATACTTTAGAATTACCAGATTTATCCTTCTGCAGTCTAAGAGTAGAGATGTATGGTAAACAGAAGCAAGAGCTTGATTAATGTAGATGTTAAAATGATGGAGATAATCAGAGAACCTTGTGGTTCTTCATTAAATCATTGCTATATTTATCCTTAACCAGTCAGATTCTGAATGCTCTGCAAATTTAATTTTTTTAGATTTATTCTGTAATCAGAATAATCAGTATAAAAAATTGTAAACTTAAAAATTAAAAGGATAATTTGAATAGAGACATCACTCACATATATAAAAAAATGACAGTATTAGTATAACTATACTAAACAATTTAGGAATATTGTAAACATAATGCGAACATATTAAAATCTATACAAGACATATAAATGCTTTTAAATTGCAAAGTACCTACCTCAATTTAGAAAACAACTAGGTATTTCCTTTGTAAGCTCAATATAGGAATGCAAATCATGACTATTATCCTTATCAAAATATTCTTTTGATATATAACTATAATAAACTACCTTTCTGCTATACATTGTACTTTTATATGCTAAAACTTTCCATTTACATGCAGTTTTAATGTAAATAGACTTACTAACAAATACCTTTATTATTCATTAGTCTGAATTCCAATGAACACCCGGTATACGATTAATGATTAAAAAGAAATAAAGCAAGACAATATATAAACAAAATATCTCAGTATAATAAAAACAAAATTGCTAGTTGAAAATGTGAACTAGATAGATACAATTTGTTACTAAAAATAGATTACTTGTACCAACTAAAATCGCCGTCATATATAGCTAAATAAATAATAGGTAGAAAAAATATTAAAAATAATTTAGTTTATTTCAGAGCATATTTGCGAAGGCTACTACGACGAACATAACCACTATTGTGATGAGGAGGCGTCATTAGAAGATCAATATACCGTTTAGAGAAAACGCGTGGTTATTTTTATCAATTAAATTACGAAGGTTGAAAGGATGAACTTACATCGAATTCACAATCACACAAATTCTAATTTTCACTTCACCACCGGCATTAAAAACCAACACACTAGCATCCAGTCGGCCCTAGTCCCACAGAGTTTTTTCGTTTACGTTTACGTTATTTCGCCGCTAGACGCACGCCGCGCTGTTGTTCACGTTTAGTCAGAATCAAGGTTGTCAACATCGAAAAAACGAAACGGATGCACGTCTACCAATCCAAAATTTTGAACTATAATATTTTTTGTTCGGTTGAATAAAACAAAAATTGATTTTATTTAAATGAAGTTAATAATACCTACGTAAAAGGTTTCTGTTAATTAGAAATTTAATATGTATTGGTTTAATTTTAATTAAGATATTTTATAAATTTTGTTTTTGCAGGGTTTCTAGATCAAGTGAATATAGTTTCATAAGGTACCGCAAAACCTAATTTATAAACTTTGGATAACAAAAGGTATAATAAATTAGAAAATAAGCAAACGGTGCTTGTAGGGTTAATTATATTTTGTATTTATAAAAAAATAAGTTACTTTATGATAGAAGTCTTAAAAGTCTAATTTTAGTATGTGAGAAGGGAAGATCTTGATGTGAGCCGTGCTTATTTTGACATATAAAGTAATATTTTTTATAATCGGAGCAAGTGTCAAAATGATCTACTTTACGCAACCAGTTGCATAATGTTGAACATTATGAAACTGGTTTCTAAAAATTCATTACAAGTCACCAGTTGCGAAATAAAACAAATAAAATAAACTTTTTTGATTTTTAAATCAATAATATACATTAATATTGAGAATGTATTTCAAAGAAGGGCATGTTGACTTATCAAAATAGAATTTGGTTAAATTTACAACCTGGTAAGAATGTTGTTTTGGTCTTTATTTTCCAGTCCAAATCAGCACAAAATAATTAAAACACAACGTACGACAAAATAACCCACTTTGTTGAAAACTAAATAACTTTAATAAATAATATAAACACACTTCAAGTCGTTGAGAATAAATAATTAATAATCCTGGTTCTAAATGTCAATAAACTGAAGCATATGCAACTAACAATACAAGATAGTAATATTGGTTGCCTAAATATCAGTATTATTTAACCAAAACATAAATTTTAATTTTAGTCAAAATTAGAAAATATATTAAATTGTATGTAACACGTTACGAAATGCCGTTTTATGTCGACTGCTCCATCACTCTCCTACTCTCCCACATGCGGGCGCGTAACTACATACGGGCCTAGGGGGACAAGTACCCTTTCCAGACGTCGTTAGACCCCTTCCAGGAGAAGCCCGACTTTTTTAGGAAAGTTTCATGAGCCGATCGCGTTCTGGAATAATAATAATAATTATTATCACGACCGAATAGGAAATTAAAGTTAATTTAAAGCTTATTTGATAAAATCCATGCGGGACTTTTTTGTCGTTTATTTAATATATCAAGTTTTTCATTTTTTACAGGATGTAACAAAAATATGTACAGTAAATTTAACCACAGTTTCTGGGGTCAAAAATAAAAAATGGATAGCAAAAAGCTTAAAGGGTGTCTGAGTAGAAATTAAAAAGTGATTTTGCTCTTACTATAAAACGGCTTAACCTATTTTTATAAAAATGTACATGGGCGTATACATATATATGACCAATAAAATGGTGTTTATGGCGATTAAAATTATTTAAATTCTATAGGTTTTTGGAAAGGTTCCGCGCTCCTTATTTTTTTAGTTAATGAAATTCAGGTAAAAACAGGACGCCACTGAAAGCCTATATCTGTTTTGAATTTTGTTTGATGTAGGATTTCAGTTGTGTTCTGTTTTATACTGAATTTCATTGTCTAAAAAAAGTAGCGGGTCAAAGGGGCGAGACGCCCTTCTAAAAAACTACAGAAATAAAATAATTTTAAACGCCACTAACTTTATTTTATTGGTCACTCTATACCATAGATTACTAATGTGAATAGATGGGAAACTCAATGGTAAAATTCTGAGTCGATGTGCTGCCATCTATCAAATTGGAGTGGTACTAAAATTCAATATGGCCGCCACGAGCGGGCTTTTTGAAATTTAACTTTGTAGTAGCACAAAAATGTAAGGAAGAAAATCAAATAAAGCAAAAAAATTGAAAAAATATTTGACTAGTTTCAAATCATAAAACAACCATATTGACTGTTCTGTGATTTGAAACTAGTCAAATATTTTGCCAATTTATCTTTATTTGATTTTACTTCATTATATTTTTGCATTAATTTCAAACTTGAAATAAAATTTATTTTATTTTTGTTTTATTACAGTAAATTAACGCCGCATCATACAATTTGTCTATTTAAACATGGAAATACTCAAACAAATATGCATTTACACCATTTAAATAATTAAATATTTATAAAACAAACCTATCAAAAATGTTTTCTGTAACAAAATCAGCATATATAAGTGCTCAAGACCTTTATAAAAGTTTTGCGACTTGGAGTGGCAAATAAGTTTGAAAAAATTGAAGTTGAATCATCATCCTTTTTTACTATCGAGGCAAATTTGAGTGTGGATAAAATTTTCCATAGGATTATTGAGTCGACTAGTTAGGTTGAGGAGCATTTCTTCATCCGATAATTGTTTTCTTGATTCATTTATACAGCACTTGTAGTTATCAAATTTTTATTCATCATGTGGGCACTGTGATAAATGAATTTAACTTTTGAGTCTAAATTAAACTTACACACGTTTGGACCCTTGAAGATTTTAGGGTGTTTTCTTGTTTGATGTCAATGGCATTGAATCCATTTTTGATACTGATGGCTGAGGCTCAAATATTTCATCGATCGAGAGGGTATTTTGGAGGGCCAACATTTTCTTACAATGATCATTTAAAAACTGAAAACAAAAAGAAATTTAAATAACAAACCAATTATTTTAACACTGAATCAAAAACAAGTTGGTAAATATTACTTACCGTTTGTGCCAAACAGTGATGGTGCATTTTTCTTAAGACACTTATTACAAATTATTTGGTTATCCTCAATATGATGACTGCATATTATTTATTGTGGTATGAATTGCATCGCTACCAATATCTGGGAGTACTTTATTGTTTGTTGCTGAAATCCATCTTCCCATCGTTTGAAACCATGCTTAACATTGGAAGGTGTCGAAAAATACATCTAGATTGTAGATGAATCAAAATTTAATACACCTTCAAATACAATAGCCGTTTTAATTTCTCCAAGTTTGAAGTTTTGAAGAGCTGACAACTGACATGACATTTCGAATCGAGCGCCATCCCGTTAATTGGAGTGGTACTAAATTACCAACCTCATGTTTTTCCATTTGAGTTACCAGCCCCTACACTATACTCTCATGTACGTTTTTATAAAAAATATTTTAACTCGTTTAAGAGTATGAGCAGAAAATCTTTTTTAAAACTTCTACTTTAACACCCTGTAACTTTTTTACTAGCCCTTTTTTATGTAATCATCTTATTTTCGACACCAGAAACTTATTTAAATTACTGTTCACCTTTTTGTTACACTCTGTATATTATTCACGGTTGTCATTTGTTTTTTATAATTATTTTTAAAAATATTAGAACGATTTGATCAAATTTGTGACTTTTAGAGTCAACATTTGTTTTACTTTTTTAAAGAATCCAATTCACAATAACAGGCCCACCCTAGCCCCCTCAAGGTCAGATAGCTAGTTACACCTCTGCACATGAGTGCATACGAATTGTATAATTTTAGGCGAGTGACATGCGCAGTAAGGCCAAATGACGAGAAAGTACTCCTACACGACTACTCTCAAAGTTACTGAATAGTGGTTCAGGCGTGCTTTGTGCTCCCTGCAGATGATGACGGGCTGGTCGCCATGTTACGCCAACATAATCGATTCTCACTCTTATTTAAAGATGACATGATTTAGGTCTTTGGCTTATCAATGACCAGTTGTTGGGGATGTGCAAATTTCAGTGTTTAGATAGAAATGTGAATTAGGATCGATTCCACCGTTGTGTTAAACGGAGATTAAAATGACATTGTTAATGTAAAAATGTCATTTTAAACTTCGTTTAACTCAACGGTGGAATCGGACCTTAGTCTTATTAAAATACATAATTATGTAATCTCAATAATTTCATTACCTACCTTTGGAACCTTGCAATCTCTGAAGTGGTAGATAGGATAGCCTAATTTGCAAAGCATCATCTTTAAATTTACCTATATGTAAATCCCTAAAGATGAAGAAAACGTCATTACAATGGATGTCTAATAGAGTTGGGTAATATTTCACGAACTATTATTTAATTATGTTAATCTTGATAAACTGACATTCTTTATATGTTTTTCTGTCGATTTCATAAATATTTTCCAGAAAATATTAAGGAATATTTATTCCGCGTTTAAATATCCACATCCGATCTTATAGCGGATTCGACTGGCTGCATTAATGCGCATTTAATTCGACTTTTTTAAGTGGTGTTTGTTCGACTGACAGAACCTTATTAATTAAATGTCAATTATTGCATTCGACTGAAATTGCTCGGTACCAAGGCATAGTGGAATTTTTGTTCGACTGGCAGTCGCTCTTGCTCAAAGTTCGATTTTTTGGAACTGTACTTTTTTTCAGTGCCAGTGTCATTTTGGAGGTTAGGAATTATTTAATATTTTTAAATATATTACCATCTTTCTCTTTATTATTAGTGATAATGGAAAATCTTTGAAATTAATAGAGATATAATTTTTGGTTTGGCAACTATAAATAAATATCGTTAAAAATTTGTTATAAATCTGAAATGTCAAGTGCTAACTGTGCCAGTCGAATAACGATAGAGACGCGCTACACCAATGTCGAACTCTAGCTCTTGCTTGCTGTGTGCACTGCTAGATATAAATTTGAATTATAAAAATGCTGCCCAAAATCAATTCAGAACCGAAAGCGCTTTGTCTTCGAGCGAGAGCATTTGAGTCGAATCCGCTATTAGATTATACAAACCTTAGATGGAACATAAGACACTGCGCATAATCCCATTTCAAAATGATTCACACCCGCCAATCACAGTTGAGAACATCACATGTCAGACCGTTGTCCATCCAAATTTAATGTGTCAACGAGAATTAATTTGGTATTTTAGTGACTTATGGCGTATTCGACTACCCAGCGCTGGCTCCGA